TTCCTTACAGGATTAGGCCAATAATTTTTTCTAACAACCGGTTCTCCAAACAGCTTAGAATGTTAACAATCGGTTCTAGTGAATAGGTGCGAACTGGTAGAATCCCACCCAGAATATATTTATTTTAGATTTACTTTGTACTTACTTACTTACCGTACTTACTTATTTACTTACTCATTCAGTAGCGTTCAATCTATCTTCAATTCAGCGCAGCTTAAAGTCACTACTTCCAATTCAGATGGATTCAACTGTATTATTATAGCTCCTGCAGACTGAAATATATTGGGTCAATTGTCCAAGAATGCAGTCAAGCACCCAGCCCGTCAGTCTGCAGCATCACCAAGCATTTCCCATTACATAAAGTCCCATTTGTTTCCTGTTGTGATGGGCAGTTATTGTTCACCATCTGCATAAAACTATGTCCAATAGAGTTCTAAGTGTCTATATATGAAAAGAAATAACAGAACTTCCACTGAAGTTAGAGATGCCTCATTTTGAATGGGGCTAAGATATTTACATGAGTAGCTAGTAGATGCGAGCTTCACAAGCTCACAGGATTTAAAGAAGGATGGTGTTTCTTGGATTATCTGATATACAATAGTTTGTTGTGCCTCTATGTTTGCAAATACACAAACACTACAAAATGCCATAATTCTCTAGTGATTTCAAAAGGAATAGCTTTAAATAAATTAGATAAATTTAGATAAATTAGATAAATGTCTTGGACAAGGGTTATGATATTTTATTCAAACAAACTGCAAGGAAAGAGAGTACCATTGAATTTTAAAAAATAGCTTTGTCTGGAAGAATAGGGGAGGGAAGAAAACAATAGAATTAGCCTATTTGTATATTTAATCACAATTTATTGGCTAAAATAGGCTCTTTTTGCATGAATATCTTCATGTTCTGTACAACCCTGAATGTAATCGTCCAAAAATGCTGAAAAGACTATCTGTTGGTGTCACTGTTAACATCCAGAGCTACATCTCTCTCCCTTGTCCAGATTACTGAGTAGCTCCTAGAAAACCTCCCAGTTTCATTGATCCCAAATTAATCAACTCATAGAAGTCCCAGAGTTTCTTCTTCCCATCAGTTCCCCTGATATCTACTCAACTTGGGAATGAATCTCTATGAACTACAGGTAGCCATTTGTAAAGAAAAGGAAAGAGGGAAACATCTTTGATCCTTTGAATGATCCCACAGAAGGACCATTTTAGGGAGGAACCCCTTTTTTTTTCACACACAGGAAGCAATATGATAGACTTCTTAATCATGGGTTAGCCCTGACTTCAGGGCTGAGTCGTGTGTTGAAATGTAAATTTGGGATTAACAAGGCATATTAATCCACTCACTTGAAAGACTATATCATCCTTATTGATGCTAGTAAAGCACTTCAAACTCTTAGAGACATGAAATGGCACAATGGAAGTCCTAGCAAGAAAGCCATAATCTGATCGTTTTCAATATACACAATAGCTAGTGTTGCCAAAAAAAGATGCTGTTGCCATAAACTGCATAATGAAAATTAATAATAAGTTCCTCTGAGATAGAAAAGAGGCTCAAATATTTAAAATTTGCTGATACAGTCAGAAGAGTTATCTGCCCAAAGCCTCTCCCAGCTTGTTCATAATGTCACAACACAAAGGAATGCACTGCTCCAACACCTTTATAGATCGCTTCATAACATGATGATACTCTCAACGATGCAGATGATCTACTGCAGGCAGTGATGTCAATTTTTTTAATTGCAGCAGGGCTGTCCCATCTATGAGACAATTGCTGTAGTTGATGGATGTTGGGGCAGTAGTGGCAGCTGTTCCAATCTACTTCTAAAATCCTTCTTAGATACCTAAATTGTTTTCTTAGAATCGAGCTAAATAGGATTAGTCCAGTCAAATTCTTTTTGTGTTGAAACAGAAGGTACTTCAAATTTTCTTGTGCCAAGTCTGAATGCAATGTATTTTAGCTTTAATCTTTTTTTTTTTAAGTGAAAAATGAATTTAGTATTAGCAACACAGGTTGCATTTTTGGGAGAATTGGTGTGATAAATGCATTGATATTCTATTTTCACCTTTTGTTTGTTTCTGAAAATGGGTGTTTCTGCAGCATCTATTTCCAATCTCTGACCAGTCAGAGTTCACAAGGTCTAGGACACAATTTGGAGAAATGTCAGGATTCCGGCAGTTACCCCCATTTAAATCATGAGTCTCAAGACAAACTTCCAAAACTTCAAAAGGATTTATTGGGAGTTAAAATGTCCGGCACTGCCTGGGTGTAGCCGACTCTGAAACACATAATTCATTGTCACCCTTGACCCTGGTTTTCCCCCATCCCCTGGGTGTATCATAATTCATATTCTCCAGTGGGACACATCCATAGCCAAGAGGCATCAATTATGCTCTCCAATTAGAATTGTGTGCGGCAGAAACTTCAGTCACCTAGTTACTATCTTTTACTATCTTTGAAAACTATTTATGGAATGCACTTTCGGTATGCAAGCTTCCTGCACTGCTCTCCCCTCCCTTTCTGTTGGCATCTCTAAAAAGACCATAGAAATATTTTATGAGTTGATAAGAAGCGTGTCAAAAGACGATATCTTGATATACAATCAAAGGATTATAGAAAGAGAAATTTCCTGACAGCAAGAACAATTAATCAGTGGAATGATTTGCCTAAGAAGTTGTGGATGCTCTAACCCTGGAGGTTTTTAAGAAGAAGAGATTGGATGACCATTTGTCTGATATGGCATTTCCTGCCTGAGCAGAGGTTTGGATCAGAAGATCTCCAAGATCCCTTCCAACCTGTTATATATTTCAAAAATATTGAGTATTATACAGAATTCAACCAAATCTCTTCTGCTGACAGTGTGGAGTTGATTCCTTTATGTATTAACAATATAAAGGGCAGATTCAAGACATTTGCGTGCTTGACATACAGCCATATTTGACATTTCTACCCCTTGTGTGAATTTTGTTCTTATAGATTTTTTACATGGTTTTATGTTGTTTTTAAATTGTTGCACAGTTTTGCTAATTTAAAAAAATCGTATTCTGTATGTGAGCTGCCCAGAGTCCTGTACTGAGATTAGTATCTATATAGCTTTGATTAAAACTAAATAATAAGTCTATGTCTGTAGTACCTAAAATTAAACACGTACCAAAAATGTTTCTTCCCATTTCTTTTTATAGCAAAACCCCACAAAACAATAAATTAACAAGGAATCTGGCTCTCATTCCTGATATACCTGCTCAGGTGCTCAAGAAGTGATCACATTTGCTTGAGCTGTAACATCTCCCAAACAGCTTATGGGTAGGCTAAAGTATCATATCACACCGTCTCTGCTAACTTATGTGGAATAGATTGGCTTTCCCTCTTTTTATGAAGGCCCCCGTGGCTCATTAAATCTGACGACTGCTGCTCCCATGGATGTTGGGGAAGACTATAGAGAACTATGGATGCAGCTTCCATTAGTCTATCTAATTCCCCATGGATCCCCTGTATTTAGCTATCTCTGTGTGGATTGGAATTAAGGTGGTCACTCAGAGTCGACCACATATCTGATGGCACAAAGTCAATGTGGATTAGGAACTAACTTTTCTTTGGGATCAGTAATATGCAATTGTAACAGGATTATATTCTAATCTTGGCAATAGATAAAGGTCTTTCTTGGGGTGGGGAGGGCATTTTAAAAATAATTTTAGTATTTTAGAATTGAAACACTGTTTTGTGGTTATTTTATCATGCGATATTACATCGATTATTTTTAACCTAACTGCTGAGGGCTTTTTATGTAAGTTTTTTATTTAGTTTGGTTTTTATGTAAGTTTAAAATAAATTGTAAAAAGGTAAATAACGAATTGCTAAACTAACAGTTATAAGCTACAGAGTTTTGGAGTGATGCAAAATACAATAGAGCATTTAAACATTCCTCTTTGGGGTGTATTGGCTAAAAACCTTACCAGCTCATTTCCACATTTTTACGTTGCATTAAATATAACTTGTGAGCTGCTCTGGGCCTTCTCCTCTCTTCTCTTTGCATTCTGATTCATGAAATGGTTTATAAGTCTTTTCTTCAGGTTAAGAAGTAAAAAAAAATCTGAGGAATAGAAATTAACTCTCAAAAACACCATCAGATCTGGCAGGAGGGGTATGCTATGAATCCTTTCTCTTAAAGGCTGGCAGGACACAAGAAGAAAGTCTATCTATTCTTTTGAACATCATCCCCCATTCTGCCGGGGATTAGGATAGTTCCAATCCTGTTGACCTTTTGTGGAGGGTTCCCATGTCACCAAGTATGGGGATTAGAAGATACAGTCCATGAGATTATTCTGACGGTTGCTTGTGGTTTTTATCTTGGCTTACTGCAGGGGTCCCCAATTCGCGGTCCATGGACTGGCACCAGTCCATGGCATGCCAGCAACTGGTCCACGCAAACAAGCAAAGCCCATCCATAGTATGCAGCCAGCACACAAAACCATGCCCCTTCCCTCCGTGGAAAAATCTTTCTCCATGGAACCGGTCCCTGGTGCTCAAAAGTGTGAGGAGGGCCATTGATCTACTGTATGCTACTGTTCTGTTTTTAACTGGTGTTCAACCGCCCAGACTCATGAGGTTGGATAGCCATATAAATTGAAAATAAATAATATAAAATAAAAATAAAATGCAAGTGCAAAATGGATGCAGGTCTGAAAGAATTTGTATGAAGTCCCAATGCAATAGTTAACTATCTGAGATACTTTGTTTTTTATTGCTATCCACAAGTCCCTTGTTTCATTCATTTTAATCTAATGAGTTTCAATTCAAGAGGTTTAACTTCAGAAAAAAGCATGACTCATAAGCAATTTGCATGGCTCTTGCCACACAGGGATGAAGGATATGTCACCCTAATTTTCCAGGAGTTGCTAACACTGATTGGCTGGCTGCCTTTCTCCACCCTGGTTATGATTGGTAGATCCTGACCCTTTTTTGATGCTTTCTTTGCCATCCTTTCCTGAGGCTCAGGCACTTCAGGGCTGCACACTGACCACAAGGCTTGCTGCCTGCTGATCAGGATTCCAGAAACAAGGTGTGTTGGGTGGAATCATTGGGATGAGAGTGGCAAGAGAGCCAGTTTCATTGGTTGACTTTAGTTTCCCAGAATGGCATGTTGCTTGTTGGATGTCTGCAATGATTTTATTCCAGAAGGTTTGCAAAGGGATCAGAAAATTTTAAACTGAATGGAGAATTGGATAATTTTTGGAGGCCTAAATACTGCATTCAGATCAATGTAAAATCATGGTGATATTTAAATGGACTCTTTTCTGAAACTTTTGGGGAGTTTGTTCATAGACGTGAAAATATTCATAGCTGAGCCTCCTACACCGGAAGAACTAATGTATTAATTACTTTGCTTTGTACAAGATCAGGCTAAATTACAAGTGGGTGTATGTTTAGAATAGATGTTTGATAATAGAAAAGGTAAGGACAAGAAGATACATATGTAGTTCTAACAGTTCTAAAATGAAAGATAAATGTATGGCATGCTTCCTATTCATATTTGTTGTCTCTCAAGTGTTTAAAAATTAATGCCTGTATTCTGTTCCCAGCCTCATCCATTTAAAGAGTTTACAGGGAAAAGTATTTATGTATGAGCAGCTCGTATTTTTTATTTGTCAATTCTTTAGTTGTAAATGAATTCAGAATTCAAAAATACTGTAGCTTGCAAGCATCACATGTAATTCTAAGCAAAAAATTCTGCTTTGTATACATTCTTATTTACATAGGCATTGTAATGTTTAAGATTCTTTCCATCTTTAAATTTCAAGTATGTGAAGCTTTTCATATAAGAAAGAACTTTTTCACAATTCCTTTTGTATGAGCAAATAAATGAGAATTCAGAGTTTCCACTTCGGGTAGCCATTAGAGATAACTTTAGCAAACGTGGCTAGTTTAGCAGTCTTAATACTATAGGCAGAGATTTTGAGTAATATAAGCTGAGATAATATTTATTTATTAAATTTATATGCCACCAATCTCACTGTCACATAATTCTGGGCGGAGAATATATTGGATTGTTTCAATTGGATGTTTCAATAATTTTTTATTAGTGTTAATGTTCCATTCAAGTCTCCTTCATGTGCAAAAGAGACTTTTTTTAAAAAAAAATCAGATTGTTGAATTTTCTTTGCTTGCAGTTATCTAAATGAAGCAAAGTTCTTCCTTGTTTTTAGCCATCCTCAATCTATTGACTTCCAGAAATGTGGGACATGTTTCTCCAAAAATTTCCACCACCATATTTATAATAAGTTGCAATATATTTTCTGACATCAGTGAGGTGGTTTGATCAAAGTGTATGCAGATGAGGGAAACGGAGCAGGAGCGGCTGCTTTAAAAAAAGACAAAAATATGTTTTTCAGTTTGTATGTGCTTGTCTACAACTAAGCTAATGAACAAGAGAGAGGAATGACCGTGTAAATTAAATATAGAACTACAGTTTGGGACAACCATAAGTGTGTGATGATATATTTCCTTGAGTTAAAAAGTTCAACAATTAAAAACATGGCAAAACTTTAACTTATAGGCATTTTTTTTAAACAGACTGGCTGTGAGAACAAAAGGTCAAGAAGAAGCTCTCCTTTGGAGTTCTCAGAAAACGTAAGCTTTTGAGGATTTATCAGTATGAGTCTTGAAGGTGGCACAATAATATTTTACTGTAAAATCTTTTGAAGGCCTGCTGCAAACATCTTCATTAGCTTTGTACAGATGGCCTTTTAATGAGTGGTGGAATTCAATTTTTTTTTACTACCGGTTCTTTGGGCGTGGCTTGGTGGGCATGGCAGAGGAAGGATACTGTAAAATCTCCAGTTAGAGGTGGTATTTGCCGGTTTTCTGAACTACTCAAAATTTCCACTACCAGTTCTCCAGAACTGGTCAGAACCTGCTGAATACCACTTCTGCTTTTGATAAATGTACAGGTTTGTGCAATATTCGAATCCTGAATATCTACAACTACGTGTTGTAGAGATAATTGTTCTGTTTATGATTTAGACTATAACAACGTTACGTATAGGACATAAGGACACAACCTCATATACAGTTATGTCCATGGACATTCTCCTTAATTGACTTTTCCTTCCATTGTTTTGGGTCATCTAGCCAGATCAGACAATTACTGCTTCCTTAAACCAGTCCATCACGACATGTGCAAGAACAATTGCATTGAATGTCTGTCTCCCTGCTTAATGCCCTGTCATTCCTATGGTTGTTATTCCCATAGACCTATGCAGAAATTTGCAGATGCTATCTCTTGCATGGAATTCAACACCCAGAGCCTGAAGTTGTGGTGCTGATTTTATTGAGAAAATCGGGCATGCCAACTTGCTAGGTTTGATATATTTAAGCAGTGTTTAGACATGTCATGCCCATTAAAAGGAGGAGGTCAAGTAGAACAATATATTATTGTTTTCTTGCATTCAATGCAGAATTGTAATGTTATCTAATCTGATGTACCACAGTCTTCTTTCAGATATAGTGCCTAGGCCTTAGGCAGTCAGGTGGGTTCCCATGTGGATATTCAACAGAGGGCTAATTATAATTTCCAAATAAATGATTCCACATAAGAGCTGCCCATATCCTTCCTTTCATAATGTGTTAAAATTCACATATTTTACTTGCACATATCAAGCATCTTAGAATGATTGTGATGAAGATGAAAATATTTAAGATTATTTTGGGGGGTGGGGTGGGATTGTTTTTATTTAGCCCTTTTTCTCTCTAGAAAGTAACATTTTCAGGGGCGGAATAATTGTTAAACTCTTATTTCTCAAGTCACTTTGCTATCATGCTACATTTTGGAAAAGAAGAGAGGAATATATTACAGTACTTCTATTATGAGTCAGAAAGAAAGATCTGAATAACAAGAGACAAGCTCATATTAAACCATTGTTTATCACAGTCTGTAATAGATCAGCACCCACGTGCTATACTTAAATTTTAATTAGAGGCAGGCCAGGTCAATATCTCTGCAGGAAAGTGAGCAACCACACCTACTGTACTGATACTTGAATAAACACAAGCAAAAACTCCCACCTGAGTGCAATTTCTCCTGGCAACCTCAGATGAAACAATCTCTGTCCTTCCCAGTCCTGATAGGAACAATTGTTTCTACAACCATCTGATTGTTCACTCCCTTTTATTGACTGTACTATTTGCAGAGCCTAAGCAACTCTTCCTGGGCTGTACCTATGGTGTAATTTAATTCCTTACTCAAGAACTTTCACAATCTCTGCATCTAATTACTAACAGTGGTTTATTGTGTCCTTGGTTTCTGTTCACACACGTCAAATGCAGTATTGGAATCTCTTCTGGAAATGTTTAGTAACCCATTGATTCTTGTTTGCTAAGGACTTTGCATCTGAAATAGAAAGTTGAGAATTTGAGCTGAAACTAAATAAATCAAGTGATCTGTTTAGTCATTATTTTCGACCCTGATTGGGCAGTTTTTCTAGATTTTATTGGACTAGCCAGAGATTGGATCTTACACATATAAACATGTGCTTCTACTCAGCTGTTGTGATGCTGGGTGGGTGGGTGAAGAAAATGATATGTTTCTCATGGTCACAGATACATTAAGCAAAAATGGAGTCCAATTTTACATTGATTGGTTTGTTAATTCCAATGCAGATCTCTTTGTTTTCTATTGATTGGCTCACAAACAGGATTTCTTTTTTTCAGTGTAAATTTATTCCAGAAAACAGTTTTCTCAATCACCCAACTGATAAGACCATTGATAAGACCCCGTGGAATGCACAACTCATGGAAAAGATTGTTGTGTATTCATGGTGCAATCTGTTGGTTGATCTTCAAGATTTTAAGGTGCAGTGTATTATCAGGCTCTGATTAGTAATATTTAATAGCAAAAAAAAATTAAGATTACAGCCCAAGCATTCCAGTGAGTATTCCACTTTCAAATGAAAAAACCCTCTATTATAGGCAATCTAAGAGGGCAAAACTCATGGATTGTTCTTACACTTTTTTGATTCTATGTTTTGCTTGTGTTTTTTGTGAAGTTGGGATAATCAGTTGATTGTTTTGGTAATGGCTGTTAGACTTTATCAGGATGTATTACTTTTGTATGTACCTTGGATGCTTTTGAAATGTATGTAACCATTATTGTTCCTTGTTGGATGGACTGTATGTTAGAATACTAATCAATCTAACTAGAGTAACCAAATTGCTCCACTAGATAGAAAAGGGCCCATTTCAGAAATTTCTTATTATTAATAAGTGCCAAACCAGAAATAACTTATATTTATACACTTCAGAAGTTATCAAGGCTATGTGAAGCATTACAAAAAGGAGATTTGCAACATGGGTGAGCACATATGGAACATCTTTCTTCAAATTAACAAAGCATTGTGCCTTTTTTCCAAGTCTGTACAAATTGTTCCTGACTTTATGTGTCTATGCACACTTGAAGAGATAGCAGGGAAGCAGTTTCTGTGAGTCTGAGAAAAATGTGGCTGCATAAATGATTCAAAGGGAGGTGGCTAGGAAAGTCACAGTAAATTACCCATTAAATTTCACATGTGAAGAGAGTTTCACAGGATTGCTAAAATCAAGGCAGCAAAAATTCTAATTTCATAGAAACCAACTGTATATGCCAGTGATAGGATTCAAATTTTTTTTACTACCGGTTCTGTGGGCGTGGCTTTGTGGGCATGGCTGGGGAAGGATACTGTAAAATCTCCAATCAGAGGTGGTATTTGCTGATTTTTCAAACTACTCAAAATTTCTGCTATCAGTTCTCCAGAATTGGTCAGAATCTGCTGAATACCACCTCTGGTATATGCATTCCTCTCATTCCACTTCACAAAATGTCTCACTATTGAAAGTGTACTAGTAGAATAGACTGTCTACCATGCACATAGTGACTCTGATGTATTGACAGACCTCATTGAAGAGAAATGTAGAAATATTATGGAGAAAGATGAATATCTACTGAGCGCAACAACATGTTAAGCAAATGCTCTAAAATGGTATTGATATTTTCATAGGAACTTTTGAAAAAATACCTGGTACCGAAGCAGTATTTAAAATGTTGACAATAACAAAAAGTTTTCTTACTTTTGTAGAAATAAGAAAAAGGCCAAATTTTTTAATGAAAGCTAAGACATTATAAATATCATCATTTAGATTGCATGAGAACTAGGACACTTTTTTTTCTCTGATTTCTGCCTTATAGAGCTTGTCTTCTACTGCAGTCATTTCTCATATACTATATTTTCATACAAAACTCAAGTGTCCCTCACTTTTTTTTTCTATGAACCAAAACATCTTAAATGAAGATTTGATAGAGTACTAATATTTCCTTTCAAAGATGCTATGTCAATTTTATCTGTCTCTTCTTAATAATATTTTAAGTTTAAAAGCCAGTTGGTCTAATGGTAAAGGCCAGAAACTGGGAAACTGAGTTCTAGTCTTGCCTTAGCCATGAAAGCCAGCTGGGTGACCTTGGGCCAGCCATTCTCTCTCAGCCCAACCCACCTCACAGGGTTGTTGTTGTGGGGAAAATACAGTAGGAGGGGGAAGGAGTATTCAGTATGTTTGCTATCTTGAGTTATTTATAAAATACAGCCATTTTTTAAAAAATGCAGGGAAGAGACAGGGAATGTCTTCTACACCAATCCAGGGAATGTCTTCTACACCAATCTCTAGCAAGGAATCCCTGTTGTATGTGACTGAATTCTATTCATGGAAGGAGCATTTCCATTGAGAAAAGGACCAATTTGGATCTGTCTACAACCTGAAGATGGCTGTGTGCCATTGAGTCAATAGATCATTTTCAGTAACTCAAACGCTTTGTAGCAGAACTAAGGAGGAAGCCATTCTCTCTTTTCATGCAGCTTTTATGGTAGTATACTTTAGATTTGGAAGGTTCAAGAATTAGCAGAAAAGTAGACAGAAAAAAACCCATCACATAAGTAAGAATCTTTTTTCTGCAGCATTAGAGTTAATCCAATGGATTTAATGTCACTTTTACAAATACAAAGTGTGCCAAGGCCTTGGCATTCAATCAACCAATCAAAATGCAGCTGGAAGGGACCTTGGAGGTCTTCTAGTCCAGCCCCCTGTTCAAACAGGAGAATCTATACCATTTCAGACAAGTGACTGTCCAGTCTTCTTTAAAACCTCCAGTGATGAAGCACCCACAACTTCTGAAGGCAAGCCATTCCGCTGGTTAATTGTCCTCACTGTTATGAAGTTTCTCCTTAATTCCAGATTGCTTCTCTCCTTGATTAGTTTCCATCCATTGTTTCTTGTGCTTTGGAAAATAAGTTGACCCCTTCTTCTTTGTGGCAGCCCCTAAAATACTGGAATACTGCTATCATGGACCCCCTAGTCCTTCTTTTCTCTAGCCTAGCCAAACCCAAATCCTGCAACGGTTCTTCATATGCTTTAGTCTCCAGACCTTTAATCATCTTAGTTGCTCTTCTTTGCACTTTTTCCAAAGTATCAACATCTTTTTTGTAATGTGGTGACCAAAGCTGGATGCAGTATTCCAGGTGTGGTCTTACTAAGGCTTTGTGCCACTCAACAATATTTTGAACACAGGTGAGAAAATGGATGAGAAATCAGCTGTCAATCCCATTTATTCACATTCTAGGCAGATTTTAAGAAAAACAAATGAAAAGACGCCTTCTTAAATCAAGCCAATTCAGATGGGCAAATGACAGAGATTGCTACCTATTAATGAGCTAACTGAAAAAGATGCAGAAGTAGATTTTTGTTGTTGTTGACACCATTATGTGGGTGCCAACCTGTAGCACAGGTGCTACTGTATATCTAATGCATGCAGAGAAAGTTTGAGACACTCTTCAGAAGGAGAAGGGCTGGGGAGTCAGGCAGTAGTGAGAATTATTGTACTGTAATTTGAAGAACTGTTTGATATCAGTATTTGGAAAGTTTTTAAAATATATTGATTTAAACTTTATCTCCGTTAGCTAGTGACCTAGGGGTGGAACTCTTGTCTCACAATCAGGAGGTTGTGAGTTCAATCCTAGATAGAGGCTAATATTTGGAATAGACGCTCCTGCTCGAGCAGGGGGTTGGACTAGATGACCTCCAAGGTCCCTTCCCGACTCTGTTATTCTATGATCTAAGTCTACTAAGAATCTTTCACTTGACTCTTGAACATTTTATTACAGCCTCTGTGAATTTGCATGTATGAAAATTTCCAAATGAAGTTTGATTCCTGATGACTGTTTGGATCCATCAATATAATTTTCTTGGCAACAGTGCAGAAATGATTTCCCACTGACATTTCCCAGAATATATTTTAGCCTCATAGAACAGCCTATCACCCTGGTATACCCCTGTAGTTTTGAGAGCCAGTTTGGACTAGTGGCTAAGGCACTAGAACTAGCAGCAGAAAGTTGTGAGTTCAAGTCCTTCTTTAGGCATGAAAGCCAATTGGGTGACGTTGGGCTAGTCATTCTCTCTCAGCCCAACCCACCTCACAGGGTTGGTTTTGTGGGGAAAATAGGAGGAGGAAGGTGTGTTTTATATATGCGTAGCCTTGAGTTATTTGTAAAAATAATAAAGGCGGGATACAAATAAAATAAATAAAAAACAAATTCTAACAGTTATCCTGTATAGTTTTTCAATCAAATATGTACTGAAGGGCTGCCACGGGTGAGACACATCCTCATCTATACACCCACAATCATATTAGCATAATCTCATTCTCTGGGCCAGCCATCATTGTTACTTCCTATGATATCAATGTCAATGCCTGGAATGCACTATCTGGCTCTGTTGTTACATCCTCTAACCCCTACTCCTTTAACCTCAAACTAACCACTATTGACCTCACCCCATTCCTAAGAGGTCTATAAGGGGCGTGCATAAGTGCACCATCGTGCCTGCTGTCCTTGTCCTATTGTCCCCATTTATTCGTAGCTATTTCCTGTATTTATTCGTAGCTATTTCTTACTCATGTTTATACTTATATCTATTACCTTGTAAGAGATTGACAAATCAAATAAATAAATAAATAAAAATATAAATGGTTTCATCTCTCAGTACTGTTCATCTATTGTGATGTCCTCTGTTTTTTTTTAAGATGGAGAGATTCCATTTCTTTGCGCTTCTGTGGAGCGGAGTCTTAATCTCTGGAGTCATCGGCCTTCAATCCACAAATTTTTCAATAGACTGTGAAACTATGTCAACAAACCTAACTAAACCAGAGGAATCTGCATCACCCTACTACCTTTTGGTATCAGCCAAGGAATATAACCCAGGAAGTGAAGTTGAAGGTACTTTCCATATATTTTGTTTCTTGATTTCTGCATCTTTTCATTCTTTTTTCCTCAGCCTTTTTCTTGGGGGAGGGGGGATAGAATATGTTAACATGACATTTGATTAGATCAATCTGATAAAAAATACAAAACACCTAGCATTTAACAAGAGTTGAGTAAAGAAGAGCATTTACAAGCATTGTCTTACCCTGCAGCCTGGTAGGCCTTGCAAAAGTAGCTCTAGAAGGTTTGGGGAAGCCCTTTGGATTACTATATTTCCAGAAGAATGGTAGATATCAAAAATGGCCTTCTTACTCACTTCCTCCATCCTTTCCTAGACGCCAGTGTTTTCTGAAAACAAAAGGCTAATCTGGTTTCACTCCTTTGTTAGATGGCTCTGTTCTGCTACTGTTGTAATTGGGGTGGGAGTGGGGGAGTGACTTCAAGGTCAATCTTGTCTCCTAGCAACTGCCTGCAGTTTTCTTGGTAAGGTGGTTTGCAAAGTGGTTTGCCATCGCTTGCTTCCTAGGGCTGAGATAATGTGACTGGCTTCATGCCTAAGGCAGGACTAGAATTCAAGGTCTCAGTTTCTAGTCTGGTGTCTTAACCACCAACCGAAACTGTTGTAATTGGAGAGCACAAAATGGCTCTCCTAAGATTTAAATGACTCGCCCTTCCTTACATCACAGTATTGCTGTATAACCATAGTTATGAACCTTTATTCGTGCATGAAGCTCCAGCAGGTAGATCAGTTGTGCCTGTCTCCCTAACTTCCAAGTCATAAAACAAACATCACACTCCTATATTTAATATTTAAAAGAAGTATCATTAACAGCCACAACTAAATAATAAACACATTAATGCAAATATAGCAACTTGAGATAAAGTTATCGAAACTTTAAGGGAATGTATTATCTTTTTAGCACTACTAGAATATAATGCATAATATTTTTCTCATTTAGTGGATCTGGAAGGAATGCCAGGTGCTGGATTCAAATGGTTCATGCTACAAGCTCGAGACATTGAAAAAAATGTTCCCATTGGTTCATTTGTAACTGTAGACCCCAATACACAGAACTATGACTGTTACAATTTGCTGGTATGTCTTTATTCCTTCTATTTGTCTATGTGATATGATTAAAAGTATCGGTTCCTTCTGTAATAAATGTGTGTGATTCAGCAGCATTGAATGATGGGACACAATCTCTACACATTAGTATAGATCTTTAAAGATTAATGGCATCTTCTTGACTCGGGGAAATTCAGAAAGGGCTTTCCTATCCTCTTCTCCAGTTTTCTCTTACACTACATACTAACTTCAGTCACGGGGATAATTTTGAAGAATTCTCAGGAATTCTGTATGTGACAGACTCAGTGTTGCTACGTTAACAGCAAATCAGAATGTGTATTGCTTGTGTATGTTAAAAAAAAATTGTAATGAGAGAATTGATTGTCTATTTTACCACCTCTGACTCTAGTCATTAGTCTCCCACACACAGGGTTTCTGTCAAAGGTTATACGTGGGGAAGCCTCCCAGAATTCTCTATGAGGTAAAAGTGTTGCTGAATGACACAAATGGAGCATTCAAAAATTACCAGTTGCCATATCTCAAGAAGTCAAGTCACTGGGCTCCTTCTGACAAGAGAAGGCCAACAGTTCACATGAATCTGGAATGTACCCTATAATGAACAGCTATGTAACTTATAGATTCTGCATGAAGATTTTTACTTTAAGAAATAAGCCTAGGCATTTCTGACTGAGGAAATAAGCCTATTTTGTTAAAAGACAGAAAAATATATAGAAAATAGAACATGAATTTTTTCACAAAAGCTAATGAGGCAGAAAACTATGAGTCACAATGCTGGGATGTAAACACTTCTTGAAGGCCACTTTTTCCTATATTATCTTCAGAGCATCTGTCTCCATGCATGCCTTGAATTTAGAAGAGCAAACCAAGTTGCAATAACTGTATATGCATGTTGGATTAAAGGTCCCTTATCCCCAGCGAATGTAGCAATTGGGATACTGACTGCATATGATATTAGTAATCCAGTATATCTGTGTCCTACCCATTTCTGAAGCGCTAATCTAAATAATACATCAGATTCATCTCTATTTTTTTTAGAATTCAACTTTAATCCACAAGAGCTCTGATGAGAAATATAATGTTACATCTGTCTGGATTTCACCAGAGGCTAAGAAGGTTCAGTTTGTGTAAGTACATACCGTATAAAGAAACTCTATATCGATGTAGAATTTCTGTTCTGTAAGGAGTGTGTGTCAGCATTTACATACTTTGTATGTGTGTTGGTGTGTAGAGACATATGTGCACATGCCTACACACACGTACACAGGCACAGACATAGACACAAACATAAACATTGTCTAATTATGTTTATAATTATAGCCAAGCATATACATAGTCTTAATAGCATACAGCATTTGTGTCTGAGACAGAGATGCAGGGGCATCTCTGTTATGTTTGTTTGTGTGTGTGTGTGTTTGGATGTCTGTGTGTATCAAATAAACCAAAATGGTGGCCACAGTCATGCAATTTTGGCTGCCATCTTTCCTTTCTGATTTTCCTTTGCAGATGTCTCTGGTGAGATTATTTATTATATATGTCAGAGGTAGTCAGTCATTTTTAACTGGAACATATTTGGAATTTGGAATTCGGTTTAGTTAAAAAAAAGAGCTGACAACTGAGGCTTGTCTATTCACAAATTGCTTCCCACCTATTTACCTATTTAATGTGGCATTGTAAAAAAGGCAAACAGAGCAAAAATACATAGATGTCATCTTTCATTACAATTAATTTGCACCGAGCTCCTTGATTGCTACATGATGAAATGAAATGTTAAAGGAAGAACGTATTTTGTGGAGGATATAAATATATAAATGCTCTCGGCCATTTAAAAGAAAACAATACCATCAGAGACATCATATGAGGAAATCTTGATTATCAGAAATAACAGCCTGCAAAAATTATCAAATAAAGAAGGGTTTTCTGGAATAATTTGTTATAAAATAATATTAGTATTCTGAAATAATTTTAAGATAAGGAAATAACTAACTAAATAAAATAAATAACTTTAGAAAGAGAGAAGGAATAGAATTGAAGATACTGTGGCATTTATTTATTTTGTTTGGTTGTTTGGTTATTACCTGCCTTTATTATTTTTATTAAAAACTCAAGGCAATGGACATATCTAAACACCCTTCCATTTTCCCCAACAACATCCTGTGAGGTGAATTGCGCTGAGAGAGAGTAACTGGTCCAAAGCCACCCAGCCTACTTTCATGCCTAAATCAGGATTAGAATTCAAAGTCTCCCAGTTTCTAGTATGCTGACTTAACCATTAGATCAAACTGGCTCTCAATTATTATATGGCTTACTTGATATTGTATGATATGTTGATTCTAAAAAAAACGTACAAAATATAATTCAGAAATTCACCATAATCCAAATATGATCTAGTGAAATTATGTTATCTTTGCAGAGCAACTGTTTTTCAAGATCCGGAAAGATACTGGGTTGTTATATCCAACAAAATCCTCTTCCCTAGAGATTCCAATGTGGCAGGAAATGATAGCAAAGTGGCTAATGTGGCCAAAGAAACCAGTGCATCATCAAGAAGTAGGAAAAAGGTTTGTAGAAATAACTCCGACTTAACATGTATAACAGGAGGCCGAACAATGCAGCCAGGCAAAACATTCCGTTCCAAAGCGACCCATAGGTGCCCAAAACCCAAATACTTTTCACCCAGATGGACAAATGAGGGAGACTCAAAGCTTTATCTGCTTGCAAATGGGACACTGAAATGGAGCATACCATTTGCAAGCAGGTGAAGTGTCATCTCCCTCTGGGTGAAAACTGCATGGGGGGGGGAGGCAGGTTATCCCAACATGCTACCCACTCCATCCCACTGTCTCGCGGCTTGCCCGTGGCTGCACTGGGCAGGCAGCTGTGCGGGGCGTCGGGATTACCTGCCTCCCCCATCCCCCATACCTTTGCCTGCACCTGCTGGTGCCACACAAGGCTCCTGCAGGCTTCCCGTGAGCCAGGCAGCCATGCAGCACATCCGGATCACCTGCCTCTCCATCACTTCTGCCACCGTGCTCAGACTTACAGGTATCTGCGTTGTGCCAAGGGGTCGGCGGGCCTCACCCCAAAAAATCAGACTAGGGCTTGTTTTGGGGGGAAGTGTCTTATTTTCAGGGAAACACGGTAGTCAAATGCTAAAAATCAAGAAAGTGTACTAAAAATCAAGAAATGATAAAACACCATATAAAATTTTGGCATAAGCTTTTTAATTAAAATGTTTTTTGTTTTTAATTTTGTCTTTACAGTCTTCTAACATTATTGTAAGAGTAAACTGTGGCCAGGTAAGAATTCTTGGACAATTTCCAATACAATTGCCCTTATTCATTGAATACTTGATTTGTATGGTAAATACATTTAAATCTGAGCTCATAGGAGTCAGGCTCTAAGATCTAAGAAGTAATGTAGAGCTACTTCTGAGTAATTTCCTTTATTGTTCTTCACCTTCAAACAGAATCTTGCCTGACTAAAGCAATTATATGCATTACTATAGATACATTCTGGCAATTGCAAGAGAGGAACCATTTTAACCCTCTTCCTGCCAACCAAACTTTTGTAGCCTCTTTGTCCTCCAGAATGCAGCCCCTCCCTCCTGGGAAACCAGTTTACATTTTACCATACCAGTCTCTTTAACATCATTGTTTTCAATCAGGCTCAAGGAGATTTGTGTTTATCCTCTTCCCATCAGCATACAGAACATATTATAAGAGGGGAAGGGTGCATTCTCCAACTGACCAGTGGAATTTTGCAAAAAAACAGCATCCAGTTAATGTCTTTCCTGCTTCCTATTGTGTTTGCAAAAATTCTATACATTTGCAAAAGAGATGGACTGCCACATCACCAGCAGGCTATCTCTCTGCTTCATCTATAAAATAATTTTCTGCAACTAATCTCTACAGAAAGAGAGAGAATTGGGAACCCATTGTAAAGCAAGTTGACATAAATTATTGCCAGGGGAAATAATCCATCATAAAGATCTATAGAGCACCAATATTTCCATTGGAAATTATCTTCATTATGACTCCTAGTGAATTACAGTTCAAGCAAAAATGAATAGATTTGGCTGCCAAACTGGAAGTGGCAATGGATCCCATTAGGTGCAGGGTCAATTCCTAGAAGCAGTGCACATATTGCATGTCAAGGTACTCCTAATTTATTTATGTAACAGCTTACCTCTCTTCTGCTAAATGTATCAACATATTGCGTTTTTAAAGCATGGCACAAGAGAAGCAAGATTCCTAAACAGACATAACGGGTGGGGCAAAATACAGATGAATCCCATTTCCTGTTTCTTTGCTTCTTTGCAAACTATTATAAAATGCCTATGACACTCTTTGGTTCAGTGTGCAATCCTCTAATTCACAAAAGAGCATCGGAAAAAAAGATGGGCAATAGGAACAAAAATATTACTGTATTTAGAATTGATTTGCATTTTCAAATACTTTGAGCTGCTTTAATGAGAAATCAGGTTATTATTTTCAAAACTATTGCTCATTTATGCTCTCTTGATACTTTATTGAACCTGAAGTTGCATTATGTTGATGAAATTATCTAGAACTTTAATAATATTTTATAACTTTAGGGTAGTTCTTATGGAAGTGGCAGTGAATGTGTCCAGGTAAGCATTATTATTCTTTCAATATATCTTACCCCAAGCCTTGGTGTATTTTCATGTGGTAATTTATTCAATTTTTCAAGAACATAAGAAGAACTTTGGTGAAGAACGCAACTAGGCCACCATATTTTTCCAGTTGCCCACCAGTCATATTTGGAAAGTTTATGGTTCCCAGTTAGATTAGGTTTGCTTGGATTGGCAGACAGTTCCCAAAGTTCAGAACAATTAGTAGATGTCAAGTCAGAAAAGCTAAACTATATAATTCTCTGCATCATTTGATGTACAAACATTTTTTTGAGGGGATTGTAAGCTACTACAGTAGATAACAAGAAAAAAAATAGTGAGGGGCCTTCTTTGGGCCTCATTTTCTGATTTTCAAATGAAACAATATTCAAGATGAGTAAGCTATATGAAAATGAAAAAGAGCATGTACGGGAGCTTACACATCTGGAATATTGTTTGACTTTCACAGGAAAGGATAGGATGTGGAAATATTGATTATGCTATTATCAGTATCTATGTTTTCTATGAATAAATTACTAATGTGGTTTTTCGCAGGGTTCCACATCTTCCTCACAGAGTAGTAGCAGTCAATCACAGGTAAGAATTTCCTCCCCACTCCTCTTCAATGTTAGTTATGTTTAGGACTAGGTCAGGGATTGGCAACCTGTGGCTCTGGAGCCGCATGTGGCTCTTTCATCCCTCTGATGTGGCTCCCTACCGCTGGTCGGCACCACAATTTTGAGAGGAGCTTCCGGTTGGAGGGGGGAAAGCACAGGAGCAGACTCTATGGCAAAGGGCAGTTTTTCCAGTCAGCTCCACAATTGATAGGAATTTCGGTTAGGACAGGTAGAGGAAAAAAAATGCCACACTAGGAGGAGATTCTATGGTGGGGGAACTGGAATTCCATTTGGCTCCGGAATTGAAGGGGGGGGCTCCAGTTAGGACCTTTGTGGCTCTTCGAATATTTAAGGTTGCTGACCCATGGACTAGGTAAAGACCTAGTATTAGAGACATTGTTGAAAAGAATGAAGTAATTGCCAAAACTTGTATCACATTTCTTGACAATCTTTTAATTGTACAAATTGTAGAGATTTATGCAGAGCCATCCTTAGGATTGTTAAGGAGAAATTACATTGTTTTACATTAGTTACTCTTATTTTTCCACATTCTCGTACTAAAAAAAAAAATCAAGAGCCTGAAAAAGTGTTTCTTAAGCCACAATGTTATTTCTTTCTGTTCTACAATATTGGATGGAACAGACTAAATCTAACATAGGTCAGTGTAGAATAGTTCTTTTCTCTCTCTCTCTCTCCCCGCCCCCCCCATGTTTCCTTCTGGAGTTGTCTGACAAAGAACTATTTATAAAATTACCAATGATCTCTTCTAAAAGATAAATAAGTTAAGTTTAATTTAAGACAAAGATATGTTTTTAAAAAAATGTATAATCTCTACAGATGGATTGAGAGTATACAGTTAATACTCAATATAACATTGGCAAAAGATACCAAGCAGAATTCTTTGTAGAGATCTGAATTTTAACTGCTTGGATCCAAACCTGAAGAAATTTGGCTTGGATGACTAATGGAGAGAGAATTATAGAGACAGTGCTAAATCAGCACAACTGTTTTACAAGAAAGAATATTAAGCCAGTGTGACCAATAGACTCACCTGAAAAAGATGTCTTTTGCATATGATTAAGTTATCTCTGCATATGGTTCAGTCAGTAAAATGCTTGTGCACCCAACAGATCGATAGATCCCCTCCATGATCTATTTGTCAGTCTCTCACTGATATGGAAACTATGTTTACCATGAATCTCTTCTACTATCATAGAAGATAGTAGACTACTATCAACATGCAATGCAATCCCTTTGGCATTTGAACTACAAGGCTCCTATGATCATTAGAATCCCCCACTTGTGAATCCCTAATTTTAGATTTTGGAAAATAGATTAGGAGAAACTGTATCTTCTTCCTGGTTTTTCCTTGCCTGCAAAGCAAATAAATCAACACAAGCAATAATTTAGTTTCATTCCCTTTCTGCACCAAAATCAGTAACTTTTGGTTTCTTTCCAAATCATATATCTTGTTGCCAAGGACACCAATAATTATTCTCAATGAAGCCTTTTTTCTTTGAGTAGATGAACAATAGTAAAACTCTGCTATTACTTTGTAGTTTCTTTTGACATAGTAAGTGAAACCACTGGCAAAGGAATAACCTGTTCCTGCTTTCTTCTAGGGAGGCTTAATCTACCAAGGTGGAAGCATCAGAAAGGTTGGATGCCTTGGTGTAAGTATACAGTTCTCCCATTTCTATATAGGTCAGAGATGGGACACCCATAGCTCATAACCTTCATAAAACTGCTTGGCCACCTTTTTTAATGATCCTGAATCCCACCAAGATTATATTGCCAAGTCACACATTTTAAGGTGATTCTCCACCCCATGTAAGTCCTATACAATCTCCCAACTCCCAAGAAATGAAGAAAAAGATGAATATTTTCTAGCTTTACCTGTTTTGGTGACATCATTTCCACTGTGGAATAGTGGTTAAATTATTAGATTAGTAACAGGAAGGCCAAGATTTTAATCCACCTTCAATCAAGAAAGCTCAACAGATGACTTTGGGCCAATCATTCATTCCCTCAGCCCAATGTAGATTGTTGTTGTTTTGAAAAAAAAAATAGACAATGGGATTTCCCTTGAGATCCTGGGAAAAAAGGTAGGATAGAAATCTAAGAAATACATGAACTAAATAAGGATACCGCATGACTTCAAAACAATAACAGGAACAACAAAATCTGCCTGTCCATGATTTAGATCTTTGCCTTCAAATAGCTGTAATTAAAACCAGATAATAATATTGAAGTTTTGGTGCATCTATTTAAGTTATGCTCTCTTATAAAAACTGGCAAGAGTCTTTGGAAAGCATAACAAAGAGACCTAGTAGTGTAGTGGTTAGATGTAGTACTTCAGGCTAACTCTGTCCACAGACTATAGAGTTTGATCCTGATGGACTTAAGGTTGAGTCAGGCTTTCATCCTTCTGAGATCAGTAAAATGAGGACTCGTAATTGAGACTATGAAATGGATGCACAAAACTGATGAACCAACCGACACACTGTTTGTATATAAGTATGGAAGAGAGCTGATGCTTTTATGTTTTGTCTGTTTTTGTTTGTTTGTTAAAAAAACCAATAAAATTGTTTTCAAAAAAAAAAAAAATGAGGACCCAGAATGTTGAGGGCAATAAACTGACATTGTAAACCAGGGGTATCAAACTGGATTTCTTCAGAGGCCGGATCAGTGTTGTAGTTCTCATCCACAGGCTGGGGGTGTTAGATGGGATAGATGCCTCCTGCAGCACCCTGCTGGCCAAAACAGGGCACAGGGCCCACAGGGCCCATTTTCAGCCTAGATGGCCTCTTGCAGCACTTAGCCAGCCAAAACAGGGCGCGGGGAGCATGCATGGCCCCTCATAGCCCATTTTCAGCCTCCACGGCCTCCTGCAGCACTCTGCTGCCCAAAAATGGGCCACAGGGGGGCACATGTGCCCGCCCTGCCCCTTTTGGCCAGCAGAGATACTATAGGCTGGTCCTTTGATATTTTCAGGCCAGTCCCACAGGCCAGATTTAAGCACCCCGTGGGCCAGATCTGGCCCGCGGGCCTTGAGATTGACACTCCTGTTGTAAACCATTCAAAGAGTGATGTGAAGCACTGTGGGGCAATATATAAGTCTAAGTGCTATTGTTATTGTTATAACTTCAGCAGTGCCATTGTATTACACAGGCTTCCAGTTCTCGATCTTCTTAGTGTAATGGAGGATGCTGCTTTTGACTTACAGATGTGATAGAGTTTGGAATGTGTCTTGTTTAGACTTCCAAGAATGGTAACAATTTTGGAAAGTATGTTTCCAGAAATTCCCTAGTTCAAAAAATTTCCACAAATGATGCTTTCAGAAACATGGCTTCCAGTCCTAGCAATCAAGATCCAGTGGCTTTTTTTTTTTTTTTTGCTCCTTTAAAAAATAAACCCTTCAAAAAGGACCACAGAAATTGTGGCAAACAGAAGACAGTTTGAAAATATAGGCAACATTCTTAGATGTTGTCTTTATTTTGAGAATAAAGCAGGTATTTTCATAGCAAAAGCATTACAGTATATGAAAAGAATGAAAGCTTCATCCCGGATGCAAAATATTCCTATTTTGTAAAGTGTCTTCATTTAATTCTCTATTTTTCATACAGGGTGGAACTGCAAGTGTCTACAACAAATACGGTTGTGGTGATGTAAGTCTTCTTCTGTTGTTTGAATGGCGCTGTTGGTGGCATTTATTCTGTTTAATAGTCCTGTGTTTTTCAGTATATTCAAAATATAATTCTCCTCTTATTTTTCTGAAAATGAGTCCCACTAAATGGAATCCCCTTCCGAATGTACTATGAGAAATTAATTTATAAAGTGACACATATGTTTAACAATTTGTATTGCAACTAATACATATAAAATCCATAAAACTAAACATACACACATACAAACTATGAGCACATCCACACCAATATTTCCTTTCCCTAAACTTCCATAAAGAAATTTGAAGCAAAATCCATAATAATCTTTATTTCTGCAAATCTTATAATACAGAGAATGTCAGGAGCCAATCAATGCTCACTCCTCTTTTCCGGTTGACCAATAGCACCCACTATCCTGCATTCTCCCCTCCAACTGGAGGCTGGTCCTGGAGTAACAGAAATTACCTCACCTACATTCTCAAAAGAAAACAAAAGTTTCTAGTAACTCTGGGCACCCACTTTCCTCTCGTGTAATATCTGCAGACTTGAGAAAAGTACTGCAAACCTGGGTCCAGAAGCCAGAAAGCAAAATAAGAGTTGGGAAATGGGCCAATAGGACATTCAAGTGTGTGGAACTGATTTTTTTTTTAACAAAAATCCAAATATGCTGCAATTTCTAATGAATAAGAGCACAGTCAGAAATGAACGAACTGCCCCTCCCCAAAATGTCATCATAAGATCAGTCAGGTCCAGATCCAGTCGTGAAGAGTGAAAAATATTGGATGGGAAGTATCCTGCCATAAACTTGATGCTGCAATTTCAGCATCGTTCTATTTGGTATTCTAACAAATTCTCCCAAGGATTTTTCAAAGTTCTTCCTCAAGGTTTAGAAATTGGAATGCTGTGGGCTCCTTGATTGTAGATTGACTTCCACTCGCTTTGGTCCCAATAACCAAGCATAGCCAAAGATCAGTATTGTGTGAATTGTAGTCCAGAAACATCTAAAAACCTCTAGGATCCTAACTTAGGTGGAGATTTAAATTAAACACTAATGAATAAGAACACCCTGTTATAAATGCAAATCTCTTAAATCCTGCCAGTTCTGTTTACATTGGTTTTATTTTATTTGCAGGGAGGCATAGACACTAGTAGCGGCAACAGTTATGGGCAGGTAAGAAATCAATTACTATGTTAAAGGTTTCTAAAATATGGAGACAGTTGAGGAAGGAAGTTACCTAAACTGGTATACTGCTAGCCTTTCAGGGTAGACCCTTGTCAGGAAACAGACACCACAAGAAATCTACCTTATTGATATAGGCAGAGGTGGGCTTCAAAAATGTTAGCAAAGGGTTGCTGGGTGACCATGGCCACGATGAGCATGACCTAGATGACCTCCTGCACCGGGGGGGGGGGGGTGTTTTTGCCCTCCCTCGGTTCCAGAGGCTTTCCTTGAACTTCCGGGAGGATGAAAACGGCCTCTCTGGATTCCCTAGGCTCTCTGGAAGCCAGAAATGGGCCCATTTCCAGCCTTCCCAAACTTCCAGGAGGCCCATTTTTTACCCTCCCTGAGCCTCTGTGCACTCCCTGCCCTTACCTGCATTCAAAACGGATCACGTGGGGACTCCTGGGAGGAGAGGGGCGGGTTGGGTAAGGCCAGCCAGGAGTGGGATTTGGGGGTTCTCTGAACTACACAGAATCTTAGCTGTGAACCCCCAGCAGCCCACCCCTGGATATAGGCTATATTGCAATAACAGAATACGGAAATGCTGACTTAGTTTCTGTTTCCCTCCCTCATTCCCTCCCTGTAAAATAGGATCAAGGCAGGGCTATATTGAGATTCTTTCTCATTCTTTCCTGTATGAAACCAGGGGTTTCACAGGGAGGGAGTTATCAAGAGGAGGGGCATTGACTATACAAGTTTGACCAACATCTTGACTTTGTGATGTCCCTTGCTCCTGAAAACCCCTCTGTACGGAACTTTTGTTCAAGGGGTAGCATAGACTGCTCTGTTATTCCCTCGGGTGATGTTACAATCAACAAACTATAACACATGCTTTTTGTTTTTCTTGCAGTCTGTTTCAACTATTTCAGATAAAGGGAAGGTAGGTTTTTTTCCCCCTCAACTAAATCTCTAAAATATCCTTAGGTAGGACCTTATTTTAAAAGTGCAACCATTCCTTGCAACAAACTTCTCTTCTGCTTTTCAATCTAAGTCATTATCCTGCCTCTCTACTTAAAGCTAAAATTAGAAGTAGATTGACATTAGGCTCATAAAAAGATGGGCTAAGATATTTGGTTGCCTATGATAAAGCAGTAACTCTTCCACCCATGGGGCAACACTACACAATTACAATATGTGAAGAACTCACCACCTGGGATATCAAGCAAAAGGCTATGTTATAAGCCTGTTTGCCTAAGCCACTAAACTGAATCTATTATACTGAATTCTGTGCATTTTTATTGTCATGGTCTAGATGCAGATTAGCCTTCCCTGCCCTGTTCAGTTCCTGAACAGGTAGCTAATGTGGATACAGATGCACATTTGATATTTGTTCAGGCAGTATTGACACTACTATCTGATATGCATAGCTATAACTGTAGTTACAATTCTATTTTCTCATTTAAATCAGTGATTAGGCACCCACGAATTTTCATGAGGCAGCCTGCCACCATTTCTGTGTAAAATGATACTTAACAATAGTTTGTTCAATTGGGCAGAAAAAGAGAAATGATTATACGGTTTTCCTTCTTATTTTCCAGATATCAGTTATTTGGGAAGAATAGTTTTGAATCATTCTCCCATTTCATAGTTTTTTTTCCTGGTGTAAAAAATTAAAAGCTTTTACAATTCAATTTCCAAATGATTTTTTTCCATTCATTCAAATTTTACAACAAATAGAGACCAAATAAATTCTAAAGGACTCTGGTCCCTTCAATTAAACAAAATCTAACTTTTCTCTGTGATGATTTTTGACAGGTCATAATATATCCTCCTACGAAGTCTTTCCCACCTGAAGTAAGCCCTACTTATTTAATTCTTTAATTTTATTACTGTAAAAGAATGCAAAGTGAATGTCTAATTGCAACCCATTGAGCATGCGAAGCACTTTTTGCTGACTAGTCAAATAGAGAGGATTTTCTTGTAACTATTGTTTTTACTTATTTTTTTTATCCTTTCTTTCTTCACAGCGTGAAACATATTCATCGGTAAGAATGCTTGTTTCCCCAATTGGGCTCAAGTCAATTTCTTTCTAATTAGTGGTGGGATTCAAATTTTTTTACTACTGGTTCTGTGGCCGTGGCTTGGTGGGCGTGGTGTAGCTTGGTGGCATGGCTTGGTGAGCGTGGCAGGAGAAGGATACTGTAAAATCTCCAGTCAGAGGTGGTATTTGCTGGTTCTCTGAACTACTCAAAATGTCTGCTATCTGTTCTCCAGAACTGGTTAGAACCTGCTGAATTCCACCTCTGTTTCTAATCCATTTAAAAGATTTTGGATAGTCTTTCCATCTTTTCTTCTGCAATTTTTCTGCGGTAAAGAAAAAAGAAAGGAGACGACGTGAAGGTTATGAATGGGAAATTATGCCATCCTGACACTCACACGTTCCTTTACAATAAAATACATTAAACAAGGCAAAGTGAATGCATCATAAAAGTTTCTTCTGGAAATAATAATTAATTTTTTTAAATTCCTGCATTCAATTTTCTGCACCTGCAAATTTATTTGTGCAAATGATCTGCCTGCTTGGGGACTTCTAAAATGGTAACATACTTTTTTTCCTCTACATTCTTTACATACATTTACATTTTTATGGCACTTGTATGTCAAATTTTCATAGGCACTATCCAGTCTATAGTACACAGTGCCCAGGGATGGTCTGATGACATATTTCATCAATATCTTTGGAAGTGTCCCCTTGTTTATGAAAACATTGCTTTTAGGCAGCTGTTGTCTCCCCTCCCTTCAAAAGTGCTAGATTAGTGGAATGGTGAATCATCTTCTTTATCTTAATGGTTACAAATAACACTAAGAACACTAAATAAGGAGCAAGATGAGAGTAATTAACAATAACGATGATGCAATCCATTCAAAAGCAATTTCTTCTAAGCAAATGTGTGGACAAATTTGCAATATATAAATTGCTGCAGCTGGCTAAATAAACTTTTCTGTAAAAATACGTAGAAAGAGGGGGAAGGGTCCATGCCACACTTTGATAACCTTCCATGCTGCTAATATACACAGATACGTTTATTAGAGTGATGTAGAGAATTCAAATGCTTTTTTTTCTGAATTCTTATAGCAACTTGCCAACTCCCACTACAAGCATATTCAGGTAAATATGTTTTCCTTTGCTTTATTTAAAACATAATGTCAGTTATTAATGCAGAATGCTCACTGGCAGATTTGAAAAAGAGGAATAAATTTCATATTTTGAATGATTAGCTAATAAACACTTGCTCAGAGCACTTGTTTATTTTTTTCCCCTCGTGTTTTGTGCAAGAATGTTGATCCATTGGCTGCAACAGGAATTGACTGACAGTCTTGTTGCCCGAGTCAAACATTGTAGGCTGAGAGAGAATGGTCGGCCCAAAGTTATCCAGCCAGCTTTCATGCCTAAGGCAGAATTAAAACTAGAACTTTTGGTCTCCTGGTTATGCTTTAACCACTAGACCAAAATGGTTCTTCACCTGGACAAATCCTTGTAGTTTTCTTAGCAAGATTTTGCCATTGCCAGCTTCCCAGGGCTGAAAAAAGTAATTGACCCAAAGTCACCCAATGTACTTCAGGTCTAAGGTGGGTCTAGAACTCACACTCTCCCAGTTTCTAGCCTGGTGCCTTAACCAGTACACCAAATTGGCATATTACACCAAATTAATGACACCAAATACTAATGAAATATTCAGGAGGAAGGTGGAGATAATATGGGAGGGGCACCTTCATGGTATTAACTCCTATCCTTAGAACATGCAACCCCTTGAGAGCTGGGAGGCCTCTCTTCTCTTAGCCTTTTGAAAAGCCTTGAAGACCTGGGATATGTTAAGACTGGAGCCCAGTTAGGTTGTTTGTGGAGATGTTGCCAGAACCTTTTCTATTAGTTTTTATTCGTTTAACACTTTTTATTCTTGTTTGTAAACCATCTGAGATTATAGATACATAAGGCAGACAGCTATGGAAATGTTTTGTATGTATATGTGTGTGTCTGTGTATGTATACCCTGTTTCTCCAACAATACGGTCTCCCCCAATAGGAAGTCCCAACATGTTTTATAGGCATGAAATGAAGTTAAGCCCCTCCCCCCAAATTAAGGCCTATATTAAAACATGTGAAATGGGGGGGAATGGTGGGGGGGCTTGCCATTAGGAAGTACTTTTGTTGCACACCCGGATATGATGCTGCTTGCGTTGACCCCGATACGAAGTGCCCCACCAATGCCGAGGTCAACATCCAAGCTGTCGCCGCCCGCCTGCCCGAAGATGCAAGGGGGGGGGAATTAAGTCACCCCCGAAAAGACGAGCTAGCCATTTTTGGGGGACTCAAAAAAAAAAGACCCGTCCTTATTATATGAGAAACACAGGTATGTACATGTACATGCATATACACATATATACAGACACAGACACACACACAAATACACACACACACACATCTAACTACCTACCTACTACCTACCTATCATCTATTTATCTCTCTCCCAGGATGAAAAGAGTACTCATTTGTACAAGAGAAATTATTGTAGACTCAAAATAATTAGGGTAAAATTCTAATCTAAAATGCATATAGTATATATTTCCACAACACAGGGATTAATCTGCAAGAAAATACCATAATTAATGTTTATATCCATCCTTTTGCAGAGCACTAAATACGGTGAAAAGATCCAGAGCCAGGTATTATTTCTTGTCTCATTTATTCCTTTCAAATTTTTCAGTTATTTAACCATACATTAATCATGAATTACAGATTAAAAAATGGATAGCTAAATTCCATTCTTTAATCTCATGGCAAATTACTACATTGAGTGGAGATGATGCTACTATAGGAGCATGGAGTAATCTATCTGGACTACAACCTTACTTGCGGATGTAGCCAGCTGATAATCATGCAAATTTCCATTGGCAGCAGTTCCGTGTTTTTTGTTTTGTATGTTTTTGAAGGAGAGGAAGCACTGTACATTAAATTAGGAATTTCAGTATGGAAACAATGTACTAGTACATAATTTTGAATGAAATCTGAGTGTGGGGACTTGTCTTCTTCACCCTCATCCTTGTGACTTCCTGTTAACTGTTCAGAATCTGCAACAGAGCCTGGGAGATCTTATAGGAAGAGATTTTGAAGGGGTGTGGGAGACAACAGAAAAAAAGAGGGAATTGTTTCATTCTCCTAGAAATAGTGCCATCTGCTGAGAAACCTAATTAGGCTTTGCCACTCCCACTCATCTCATTCACAAGACCTCAGATAAAAGGAAGGCTGTTTTCATTTTTTGTATCTGTAATTAATTATTTATGGTTAAATGACTGAAAATAAAGCCTCTTTGATGCATCATCCTAAAATAGTACGCAATGAATAGTTTTTGCCTCACAGATTATTTCAGCATATGACAACATAAATGGTATTTTCATCCGATAAAGGAAATTGTTCTTCCTTTTTGAGTGGAGAAATGGTTACTGTGTGAATTGTTTATGCCATGTAAGTTTTCTCTGAGCTTTATCCAGAATGATTTTCTTTGAGGCTGTTGTTTAATATGTTCTGCATGAGCTAAAAACTCCAGTTCTAAATCACTTTTTGAAGTTTTTATGAAATTTAACCCTTTTTTAGTGATATCTAACACTCTATTTAGTAGATGTGTTTGATTGATTTGGGCATGTTAGAGTTAAAAATTACTGCTCATCTTCTGGATGTGTGAGAATGGGAAACATTGTTCTAAAATTAATATCTGCATTTAGGAAAATGTACTTATTTGTTCACCTTTAGCAATGACAAATTTTGTGGATAAAGAGTAAAGAATTCAGAGGTTTGTCAGTGCCCCAGAATCCTATTACCCTTAGGTATACTAACTGGTAGTTACAGAAATTGAAGGCTAGGAAAAATTGATTAAACTCTATAAAATAGGTGCAGTTCTACAACTAATGTTATGTAAAATTATCGCTTTCTTCTACAGGGTTCAAATCCTCAAAGTGACATCCGTATTACAATTCAGGTAACCATTATTTATTTGCATTCAAGCCTTCAGTTAATAAAATCATAAAAATTATGTCCACTGCTAATGTGCCTTGGATCACTAAACTGCAAATCCTATTTTCAAAAATAAATCATGAGCTGCTTTTTCCCCACAGATGTTATACATTAAGTACATTCACATTCTAAATCATAATGTTGCCTGGCTTCTGCTTCCAAAATATGCGGTTCAGACCAGCAGGCCTTGTTTAATAAATAATTAAAACAAATCATAGTTTAGAGCAATGCATTAATTCAGTCACAATGCTCGGTATCCTAAACCTGATGCTGAGCAAATAATGGGCAATCTTTGAAATTACTTTATGATAGGCCTTTCACATTCACGAGTGTTAATCCAGATTTGAATCTGCCTAGTGTGTAAAGCTGTGTTGACTATTTTAAAGAAGAGTAGCTGCAGTTATATTGACCTGGAAGGCATTTTAATTGAAAATTTTGAGAGTAAGACAACAGGCCATCCTAAAATAATTGCTGGAAAATCCTAAGAATTTAATCCTGGCTTCCTCCATATGCAGATCTAATTTAGATGCCAGTTCCCGGATGTTAAACACAGATAAGAAATGAAAATTAGATTCTGTTAAGTGTTTAATTTTCTTAAACAGAAGAGAAATTACCATAGCTAGAATTCTTGGCCAAGCTGATCACTGGAAATTTTATTGGTTGAAATCGTAATACATCAGGCTCATGCCAGGTTAGGACAGCTGACCTGGAGCATATGTAGTTCCTTTAGTTCTGCATTTAGCCCACATTTTAATATCTAAAATTAAGCATTACTCTTCTTGATACCCATTCATTTTCCTCAGAAAATATTTTTAGTTCCCTCTCTGTATTACCTGGATTGGGTTGATTTTTTAAATTTCACTATCAAGATCTGATTAGAGAGCCAGTTTGGTCCAGTGGTTAAGGCACCAGGCTAGAAACCAGGAAACTGTGAGATCTAATTCTAGTCCCACCTTGGGCATGAAAGCCGGCTGGGTGGCTTGGATCAGTCGTTCTCTCTCAGCCCACAACATCAGATTCAAGCAACAGGCTCACTAGTCAATGAATTACAACCTATGTATCAACATTCAGTTGATCTTTTTTCTTTTTGACCTTGCACTTGTGAGAAAAATATTAAGAAAAAATGAAAAACTATAAAGATCTTGCTTCTCTATTCAGTGCCTTAATTACACTTAACATAATAGACCCAATTAATGTTTACGTTCAAGAGATTAGGTTTGTTTAACAGGAAAAGCAATCATAATTATATACTGTATCGGATGTTCTTCCAACATATTCTTCTAATGTATTATTTGTAACATAACCACAGGTAGTCCTCGAGTTACGACCACAATTGAGCCCAAAATTTATGTTGCTAAGTGAGACATTTGTAAACTGAGTTTTGCCTCATTTTATGAATTTTCTTGCCACTTCCTGTTAAGTGAACCATTGCATTTGTTAGTTAGTAACATGGTTATTAAATGAACCTAGCTTTTCCATTGATTTTGCTAGTCAGAAGGTCGCAAAAGCAGAACACATGACCCCAGGACGCTGCACATGTCATAAATATGAGCCAGTTGCCAAGCATCTGCATTCTGATCATGCGGCCTTGGGGATGCTGCAACAGTCATAAGTGTGAAAAACAGTCATAAGTCACTTTTTCAGTGGCATTGTAACTTTGAACGGTCACTAAATGAACTGTTGTGAGTTGAGGACCACCTGTACGTGAAATGCTTCTTGTTTTTAAAATGGCTTCTGTTATGTTTCCCTAGAGTGGACAACCTATGAAAGTTTGTGATAAGGTAAGCACTCTTTCAACATTACTGAATCAATGTAGTTTGATAGGTATCCTTCTAATTTTGAAGGATAAGTTGACAAATTAGAGGAGGATAAATCTGTCCTTCCCTGCTAGACTGGACAGCTAGGTCTAGAGTCAAAAGTCTAACTCACTATTACTAGAGAACCAGTGCAAGTGTTGGTCTAAACCAGGTCGAAGTCTACTCTCACCAAAACTTTGAGCCAGGCTTAAGTTTTCAACCATCCGTCTTAATTCTTGCTTTTAGGCTTAGCCAGATAGTTTATCTGGACTTTGATGTGGCTGATGTGGCAACAAATGGCAACATGCAGCTAAGCTTTGAATAAGGAGACAAGAACTCTTTAGAGACTCTCGTTAGATCCGCAAGCAGGAGGTATTCTCCCTAGGATAACATTAATATGCGGATGAGGAAGACAAGCAGCTGCTTTTCCTTGTTCCAGAAAGAATGATTAGAGGCAAAACTGTCTACTTTTCCTTGCTAAATCATAGCTTGTGGTGAAGATAGTAACACAGCAAGGCATATGGGGTCTACTGAACAGTAGCATCCTGAAATCTGCCAAAAGATACTAAATCAAGGATGACTGATCTCCTCATTAAAAGCCAAGCTAACTTGTCAAACGAACATCTCTGTAACCAAACAGAAATGTTGGACTTCTGCAGCTATAAAATGCTACCAAGAGAATTCCACAAAAATATGAAATATGAAGACCTACATATACTTTGGGGGCACAGTGGCTCAGGGGTTAAAGACACTGAGCTTGTCGGGTGGAAAGTGGACAGCCCAGGTTCGAGTTACGAGCGCTGCACAACAGGGTGAGCTCCCGTTCCTGCCCCAGCTCCCCTCTCCAGTAGCATTCAAATGTGAATAGATTAATAGGTATCACTTTGTTTCAAAGGTAATAGCACTCTGTGCATTTCTGGTATGTAGCCATGCTGGCCACATGACCAAGGAAATGTCTTAAGACAATGGCTCCCTTGGCCGAGAAACAGAGATGAGCACTGAACTTTAGAATCGGACACAACTGGTCAGGGAAAACTTTACATATACTTTATGTATGTTTTAGAAGTACTCTCTTACTTCTAATCATTCCATCACTTCATTTCCAAATAACTGTTTCTTTCTTTCTTTTTTGTAAACAGACCTCTCCTTCCTACAACAGCCAAGCCTGTAAATTGGTAAATCTATACTCAAAACTGAAACTGTTTTTATTCCTTTGGGGTCATTTGGTATTTGATACACACTATCAAATGTGTATCTTTTGTGCACTTTTTTAAAAAAAAACATATATGAAAAGGTATGATTGATTGCTTATTGTACCCTGTGACTATCATTAAGTGTTGTACCTTATGATTCTTGGCTCTTGATGAATGTATCTTTTCTTTTATGTACACTGAGAGTATTTGACCAAGACAAATTCCTTGTGTGTCCAATCACACTTGGCCAATAAAGAATTCTATTCTATTCTATGGAAAGAGAAAAATGCAGAAGGACAAATAGCAAATTCACCCTTATTTTTAACATATCACAAAACATTGACAGTGGAAAATCTGTCTTCTGCATTATGCTGATTTAGAGCCAGCTGTTAAACAGAAAGCAGCGCACAGAAGGATCCCAAAATTGTAGTGAGGAATTATCATTTTTGTTCCCATCCATATTCAGTACATCCATAATAATTTTCATATCAACGTTCCAAGCTTTGGATCTACAATTCCAAAATACATTTCTGCTTTCTTAACAGACTATACAGTCTTCTTCATCTCAGAGTGGTACTTCTTCTGTCTCTCAGGTAAACTTTCTTTTGTCATACATGAGTCCTGTTGGCTTCACTAGGATTTGAGAAGGGGGGCTGTTTCTGATGATACATATCAATGTGAGAAATCTAGATGATTTATTTATGTAGCATATGGCAGGAACTCCCAACCTTTTGGGCACTGGTTCTGTGGAGAAATATTTTTCCGTGGACTCAAGGGGGCATGGCTTTGCATGCTGCCTGTATCCCACAGATAGGGCTTTGCTTGCTTGCATGGCCCAGTTGCTGGTGTGCCATGGATTGGTGAGGTCCATAGACTGGTGGTTGGGGACACCTGGCATATGATATATCATACACAGAGTAGCAAAATATATTCACATTTCACCTAGATTAGTAAAACACAATAAAATATAAGCGTTAAAAAGATCTATGTTCAAATGCCAAGGTTTAGGGGGCCATCTAACCATTGAAGCACAGCATTGTTTATATTGATCAAATCAGATACTGGACCAGTATATGCCCTCAACTTACAACTGGTCATGATGTGATCTACAGTTTGAGTATTATTCCTCACCATACACTTCTGGAAATCTCTAAAACATTTGAAGTCTGGTGGGAGGAACCTGTGTATAGTTCCTTCCGATAAAAATTCACTCTCTTTTCTGGGAGGGTAAAGCTAAATGTGGAAAGGAATTCTTTATACAACAGCCCCATGCATTGTTTCTTCATAGAAACAATCTTCTCCAATAGAGATTACTATCCATTTATTTAGGCAAGGCTGCTAGAATTCCACTCAAAGACATATTTAAAATTCTTGAATTATACTATCAAATTTTCACTTGGAATAATAAGTGCAGAGAATAATATTTTTAATTCTTTACTCACTCCCAAAACTAAGCAAATTTGGTTTGTTCAGAAAATTTGTCACATGCAAACCAGCAGCAGGATGCACAAGAGGTTTCATGGATATGGCACTAATTTTGTTTGTGATCCCTTATTTAGCTACAGATAAGCCTGCAGAAGTTAGTTGTCTAAATGATCTCTAAAGTTATAGAAAACATTCATCCTGGGAAGGGTTTTTTTTGACAGAAATTGTGTTCTTTGCCAGTATTGGTTCCATTGCAATACAGACAATAATGATATCTGGAGTCTTGCAGTATCCATCTCAACTCAGATTTTGTACAAAAGAGATTATATTTTGGATTATATTACTGCCTGTCTGTCTAATCTATGCCTGTCTGTCTTTCTGTCTGTCTTTCTGTCTGTCTATCATCTATCTATTATCTAACTATCTATCTCTCTCTCTCTCTCTCTCTCTCTCTCTCTCTCTCTCTCTCTCTCTATCCACCCACCCATCATCTATCTATCATCTATATCTATCATCCACCCAACCACCCATCTATCTCCAAAACATCTACATATGAAGTCTTTCTTGAACTCAACAATTTTATATTTCCTATTTGCTTAAAGTATTATTTTTTACTTTTAGCAATTGAAAACTAATTTTCTCCTCCTTTGTCTTTGTATATTCTATGACAATGTTTTCTTCACATCAGAATTTGTAGATGTGGGGTTATTTTAAGAAATATGTTCCATTTCATACAAAAACAATGTCTTTAGTTGTGCTATTTTTTTTCATCAGGGTGAAACGATTATAGTTGGTGGTGGTAGACCTTCTACTTCAGTAAGTGGCAGTGGAACTTCAGTTATAGTTAGTGAAGGTAGACCTTCTTCAGTTGGCAGTAGTGGAACCTCGATTATAGTTGATGGCGGGAGACCCTCTGGTGGATCATCATCTACATTTGGCAGCAGTGGATCTATTGTATCAACTGGCAGTAATCCCTGTGGTCAGGTCAGTGGTGGGATTCAAAAATTTTTACTACTGGTTCTGTGGGTGTGGCTTGGTGGGTGTGGCCTGGTGGGCATGGCAGGGGAAGGATATTGTAAAATCTCCATTCCCACCCCACTCCAGGGAAAGGATACTGCAAAATCCCATTCCCTCCCCACACCACTAATCTGCTTTCCAGCTCTGTTCTTCTGTGCAGGGGAACAAAGACTCAGCCATTCAGCTGGGACTCAGGAGGCAGAGAATAGATGGGGGTGGGGCCAGTCAGAGGTGGTATTTGCCGGTTCTCCAAAATACTCAAAATTTCCACCACCGGTTCTCCAGAACTGGTTAGAATCTGCTGATTCTAGAATACCACCTTTGGGTCAGGTTAGTGTGTTTTCTCACAAAAAACAACCTGCTTAAGTGTTTCTTATGTTCTTCTTGTGAAGAGAGGACTTTACACTCTATCCTACATTATGGAAAACAAAATTTGAAGGTAATAGCTAGAGTTCAACTTGACATTGAGAAAGCTTGCATATAATCTTAAGCCATGGTTATATAAGATGGAAAAGAGAGTAAATCTACTCTCTTGTCCTACTTATCCAACATGGCTGCAAGGAGATCAGCAAAATTATACATGTTTTATTTGAATTATGTTTGACTAATAAAAAACAGCTTGTTTTAATGTATAATTAGCTAACAGGACTGTTCGATTTGAATGATATCACAAGCAACAATTAATTAATAGCAATAGCACTTAGACATATATCATTTCACAGTGCTTTACAGCCCTCTGTAAGTGGTTTATGTAGAGTCAGCATATTGCTCCCAACAATTTGGGTCCTCATTTTACCAACCTCGGAAGGATGGAAGGCTGAGTCAACCTTGAGCCTGGTGGGATTCGAACTGCCAAATTGCAGTCAGCTGGCAGTCAGCAGAAGTAGCCTGCAGTACTGTACTCTAACCACTGTGCCTCCGTGGCTCATAATTAAAAAAGAGAATCAAGGTTTTCTTCTTTTTTCCCCAGCCACATTAGAAGTAAAGAGAATATGAAAACTTGCTGTGACTTGTTTTCATTACATTAAACTATTCTTTAGAGTTATATATGAGCCAGCTCTTTATTTCCATAATCTGATGAATGCCTGTTTGTATTCATTGTAACAGAAACTTGTATAATCAATTTTGAGTCATGAATCCATCTGTTGGCTGTGAAGAACTCCTATTTCTAATTATGATTGCAACATCTTTTCTTCAGTTGAGGCATTTTTTTCTCAACTTAAGCTGTAATGTGGAAATACCAATATTTTAATGATTTATTTGATACCATCAATTCATGAGCTGTTTATTTAATTTTTCCCCCACAGGGAAATACCCCTGGCAGGAATCCTTGTAAACCGGTAAGATTTATTTACCATTGAGGGGAAATGGTGGTCCTTCAAATACTTGTTATATTTTGATGTCAGAAAGGTACCTATTGCCCATTCTTGACCAAAGTCACCGAAGATGTGCTTTTAATTTCCTTAATTGCCAAATTCTTTTGCCTTGAGAAACCAGTGACAAGCTAAACATGGATTTAACAGCTGTTTATTTTTGAACTTCTGGATTTTCTTCTCTATAATTATCATTGTGACATCTAGTGCTTAAACATCCAAAAAGCAATGCCAGTCCATTACTGAACAGGAGGTGGCATTGCTAATGTGTGCTTGAGAAATTGCTTTAGACAAAATCTTCCCAATCTTTTAACTAATTAACAAGGCTGTGTCATTCTTTTTTTTTTTTTTTGGCAAAGAAAAATGCTAAACACAAAATAAGGGCACACTATTTTCCTTTGAACTTAAACAAATTTGCATTGGCCACATTACAGGCTTGTGTAAAATTCTGTGTTCTAACATTGGAGAACTGTGTTGATTTGATTTTTTTTATTATGTGAAATTATACTACATAATATATTAAGTAAAAAGAAAAGAGCTCTGGCTGGAGATTGCCACTGTGCTCTCTTATTTGTCTTTACTTTCTTCAAAACTTATTTATTATTTGACAAGATTTTCTCCTTAAATTGCTCTTTCCTATGTAGTGTCATGGACAGTTAAATGGATTAGAGAACTTGTAAAAGGTTTCTTAAGTTTAAAACATTTCAGTTGTTTTTAAATCATTGGCTTTTAATATAGTCAAAAGGTGTACTGTTCCTACTAAATAGAAATGTAGAAATGTAAGAAAAAGGAGAAACTAAATAGGAAAACATCAGAAAATTCCAGCAGAAAACAGCAACATCTGATATGTAAAGCTTTATGAATAAAACAAGAATAATTGCACAATTAAAAAAAACTTCAGCAGAAAAATTCTTTCTTTGAACCTGTTCCACAATAAATGTTTTAAAACCTTCGGATGCTTTGAAGTAGATATAAACCATATACATGCATGCATTTTCATTGTAATAATGTCCCAGCATTATTAAACCTATATTGTTGATATATATTCAATAAATAACCTAAGACTAGAAAAAAAAACCAAAGATATCATTTGGGCCCATAAGAAAAATCACAAAATCCTAATAAAGGATTGATGTAATATAAATTTTGGAATAAAGTTCCTATATCCCCCAAAGTTTTTTCCCCAGGCTAGCATTTTAAGTTGTAATGTTGCATAGTCATTTTTTGCATAGGGCAGATCTGGACAAAACAGCAATCTTGGTTTATTATTTACATAAAAACATCTATTGGAAATATATCCTGTCTGCAGGACAATTCCAGCAAATTTGAAACAATATTTGTTTGGTTTAAATGTGCCTTACCCTGGACTGGGAGAAGCCACAACTTCATGTTCAGACAATATGGCAGGTGATCCTTATAAAGAGAGCTGGGAAGTCATTAGCAGCTGAGCAATCAGTCTAACTTGTCAAAATGCAGCCATGATGAGAGAGGAAGAGACACTTGTTTAATGCAGGTCACTTTAATGAGAAAAGCATGTTTTTGCACTATGAAGAAGTTCTTTAAAATTAAGAGTGTAAAACTTATTTGGCAGGATAACTCATCAAATTAGATAACAATCATGCTCTGTTTGAATATTATAACTGTCTTGTTCAGTGGAAGAAATTAAATTCATTTAGGCTATTTTGAACATTTTGGACAAAGAATCCAAAATTACTCATCCTTTTCTTATGGTGTAAATAAAAAGCAACCCATCCAAAGTTGGCTGAATTTAATTCTGTTTTAAGACCTCCTGCCAAAACCATAGGCACATCTTCATTAAAAAGATATATTGTATAATCCTTGGTACTCGTATAAGATCCATATTTATAATGTTTTCACTCATTATTTTTCCCATAGGCTGGTTCATCATCTCAGCAAGGTTTTGGAAGTAGCCAGGTAAGGACAGAGCATATTGTATTGGTTTATTTCTACAAAGAATTTTGTGCATTTTTGAATAGACAATTTATATATATAAAAAATCTTGTTTCTTTGCAGAGTGGTTCATCCCAGCAAGGTTATGGTTCCCAGGTAAAATCAATCTTTCAGTTAATTTGTTTCAGAAAATGCAAAAGCTGCTGCTTGGTTTTCTGTACTTTTTGAATAATAATTAGAACAACTGCGGCAAAAGAAAGCGATGATGATGATAAGAATAAGTGTCCCTCGGGTCAATCCCAAAACATCTGGGGCATTGTTTGAACACCATCAATCAATTGCAAAAGGCAACTTTACTTGGAACAGTTTTCATCCTGCAATGATTTTAACATCACCACTACCTTTAACACCATCAAACATCCACATCTGCTAATCTCAGGTCCTTGGGAAAAAACTCAATAGGTGGATAAAAACCCCAACTCCAGTCTAAACATCTGGCTGACTGTGTGACCAACCATAATATAATATTAAAAACTATTCATCTTTTTGGATGGCTTATCACAACAATCTTTGGAAATAATCAGGTTGACCTATCTTTAATATCCCATCGTTTTAATTGTTTCACTCTTGCTTAAAAAGGTGGGCCATTTTACAAAGGCCCAGTTTGCACTGAATGAATGAATATTGTTCCTTTATAGGAAGGGTGGGTTTACTTTCTATTGCTCTTGTCAATAGATAGAAAGCAAACAAATAAATAAGCAAACAAGCATTCTATTTTCTTATTTCTTTTTCCCAACAACCTGACTTAAGTTAAAGAGCTTTGGCACCTCCAGACCTTCACAGACACCAGTTTCAATCTAGATGAGCCTAGGAACAAATTAGGGCATCCCACACTTTCCCCTTGGAAATCTAGTGCATATACTCTCATGACCAATTGCCTTGTAACCAAAGCCTTTTTCTTAGTGGCATCAGATGAAGTAAGCTTTCCTTTACAAACCGTTATTTGTTTTCAGACAATTAAATTTCATGTACCTGTGCAGTTTCTGCAAATTTTGTACTCAGAGTATAGAACATCTTTTCAACAAGAAAAATAACCTCTTGTTATAGATTGCATGCACGTGTAAACACACACAAACACACATTATTCTTTTAGAATGGGCATTCTAAATTTGGTGTGATGTTTAATCCACTTACCACTGATGATTGGCAGCTATTGAATGCTGGTTGGGAATGCCGTAGCAGTGCCTGCTACAGACTTTTCTCCTAACGTTGATGCAAACTTGAGAATCATTTTTCAATGCTTTCTACTCCACAGAGCTTGAGCAATCACCAGTTTATTAGTAGGATTCTTCCACTGCTTAAGAAGCAGTGAAAGATCATCTACTTGAACTGCTTTTTTTCCAGTTCTTTTTTGTTGTTACCTCCATCGGGAGCAAGTTCTACTTATGCCGTGGGTTCGCAGCCTGATTTCAAAATTCTTTGGCAAGAGATTAATTTACTGCTCTGCAAGAGATATGTGTGGACTTCCATGATTTGGCATTAGGAGCAGCTTAGCAGTGTTACTTAATGAGAGCAATTAATCCTACAGAGCACTTTGACATACTCTCCCACGTTTCACAACCCAGACTATCCGGCTTAAACCAGGATAACTGGCGAAACAACAAAATGAGTTTTGTCTTCAGTTGCATTTTTTTTAAAATGTAAGATGGGTGAGGGCACCAAGAGGGGATGGGTGCCACTTCACCTACAGAGCACAGGGGCCCATTATTTTTCTAGCAATTCATAGCCACCTCTTGCTTGTTCATACCACATGGAGGCTGGGATGTTGACTCACAATGGAAGCACTATGTGAAGAGGTGGGCTTCAAAATTTTTAGCAATGGGTTCTCTGCCTGGTTGCTGGGTGGACGTGGCCATGGTGGGTGTGGACTAGTTGGCTCTCTGCACCATGGGCGGGGGGCATTTTTGCCTTCCCTGGGCTCTGGAAGCTTTCCTCGAGCTTCTGGGAAGGCGAAAATGGCCTCCCTGGGCTCTGGAGACTGTCTGGAAGCTGGAAACAGGCTCATTTCTGGTCTCCCCGAACTTCCGAGGGGCCCGTTGTTTGCCCTCACCGAGCTTCTGCATGTGCTTGCACTTACCTGCATCCAAAACTATTGTGTGCGTGGGGACTCCTGGGAGGGGCAGGTGTGGTGGGATGGGCAGGGCCAGCCAGGAGTGGGATTTGGGGGTTTTCCGAACTGCACAGAATCTTAGCTAGGAGCTCTCCTGAACCCCTGCGAATCCCCAACAGCACATCCCTGACTATGTGATCAATATACTGTATAGCAGTGATTGAGGTACTATATTCTCTTAAAAAGAAATAGCTATATGCCTTTGTTTCTTTTTGCCTTACTACAGGGTGGTTCGTATTCTCAAGGGAACAGAAATCCTTGTGACGGGGTAGGTCCTTTTTTCTAAACCACCTACCTTGATTTAAATGGTAGATTAATCTGACAATCTTTCCCAATGGCTGTTGGATGTGGCAAATATCATTGAAGCTTATGTGGAATGTTAAGTAATAGCATGATAATTCACTTTTTGTTTTAAATAAAATACAATAGCTTCAGTCAAAGGAGACTTTCTGTTATTTTCCTTCTGTGCATTCTCAATTATGTTATGGTATTTTAAACTAATTCTCAGCCATGTTAGAATAATGTGCATCAAATATTAGAAACTGTAAGTCACTAAGGAAATGTATTGTCTGCAGTATGCTAAAACCTTTTTATTTATGTATTAATCAAATTTGTATAGCTGCCCAACTCACCAAAAGCAACTCTGAAGCTATTACTTAAGACATGAAGCTAAACTAGAAACCTCCTAGTTAATGTTGTTAACAAATAGGTTAACATTTAAGTAATGATGGAAATATTTTATGAAGTCATGCAAAATAAATTGCTTATGTTTTCCCTTCATATAGCTAATAAAAAAATAATTGAAAGCTTTTACTGCATGTTGTAGGTGGAAGGGTTGATCTTGAATGTACACTAAATCAGATTACAAAGGTGTAGTTTATTTTGCAATGATTGAAAAGTCTCAACTTTGACAAGGAAGAAAGATAAAACTTAAATATGCAACCTGAGCAGGATGAAGCTGACTCATATATAATTGGAAACTACCAGGTTCACTTTCACCACTAGTGAAAACTAAACTGAAAAGGATCACAGAAAAATATGGCAAATTACTTCCATCACGTTGTTGAGGGAATAGCTGTCCATTAATCTAGGTTGTTTAATCCTTGTTTGTCTCAGAACGGAAAGACTTGTAGTTCCTAATGAAAAATTACCCCAAAACAAAAAAGAGTACATTTTTATTATACTTGAACATGTGTTTTCCCTTCCAGAGCACTATTGGCAAAATAATCAGCAGTAGCAACTGTCCAAAGGTAAATATGTTTTTCCTCCCTGTAATTGTACAATTTGATAGGAAAAAGATACCAACAGGAATCATATTCATTCTATCCATGGCTGGGATGTTCTAGATAGTTCAAATAATTTCTGTGTGAAAACAGGTATATAAGTGGGATAAGGGCAATTGTGCTTTTAATCATTTTCCTTTGAGGAACCTCAAATCATAGCCAATATTGCCCTCTACTGTTAACTGGTTCTATACACAATGATAGGCCTCTTTACATAGAGAGTACATGTGACATATGTGGGTATTGAAGTCATTGTTTTGAGTAATGCATTTATTCAAGAAAAAAATTTAACTGCACATATTAACTTTATACATTTCCTGTACAGGGGGTATCAAGTGGATCCTATGGCAGCAGCAGCAGCAGCAGCAACCAATATGGACAGGTAAAAATATTGTTTGGTGTAGATATTATATAATTGTACATTTCTGAGGAAAAAATGTATGCACTGTTTGATATTCTGAACAATGTTAGAACTTTGTATGGATCTTGCTGATATACGTAAGGAGTGAATACTTTTTCATCAGTTGTATTACTTAGTAAAGGAGAATGATAAGAGATTAGGAGAGAATTACCGGTAGCTGTGTGTGTGTGTGTGTGTGTGTGTGTGTAAAATATAGAAGTAAGACAAAAAGAGGCTATAGCAGCTTTGTACTTTGTCCTTGGATAATTTTGATTATTTTCTGCACAGTATGGTCAGAGTGGGTCCTATGGCAGCAGCAGCCAATATGGACAGGTAAATATTCTCTTGATATAAAAAATATATGCAACATATTAGAACAATATATGTATATATTAGAACAATTAATCAGTAGAATGACTTGCCTCCAGAAGTTGTGGGTGGTTTTTAAGAAGAGATTGACCAGACATTTGTCCAAAATGACATAGAATTTCCTGTTTGAGCAGGAAGTTGGATTAGAAGACCTTGGAGGTTATATGCCTTAATAACACAAAAGAAAGCTAGAATTGTAGAGTTGGAATCTAGAACAATCTAAAAAACAACTGTCTTATAGAACCTACTGTCAGGAATTCCTTCATAGTTAAATGAAATCAAGGTACCTGTGACTTATAACCATAACGATCCATAATTTCTTGGGTTATAGAAATTCATTCTTTAATGGTCTTCCTCATATGTGTCTGAACATAGCTATCCGTCTATCCTAAATCTTTTTTTCTCCAGAGTCAGTATCCCCAAGATATTACAGTTTAATACAGCCTTAATTTAGGGTGATTATAATTTCATTTCAGAAAAAAATAAATTCCTTTCTCACCCCTATAGAATAGATGGTCTATGTCTTCCTTAATCTTGGGTCCTGTACCAGGGGATTGGGAGTTTGAGGATTCTGCATAGGATCGTATTATTTTCCACATCTTCTCAAGTTCCTCCTTTACATATATATACACACACACACACACCATCACCACACTCTCAGCCACTCACTTATTCTGCACAATAGAAAATATATACATATAAATGTAATCTATTTATCATCATCACAAAATCTCCAGAACCGTAAAGCCTACAAACTTGAAATTTGACACGTATGTTCCTCTTGGTTTCTAGGTGCTCACTAAGAAAGGATTTTTTGAAATGACCATCAGAACATTAGTATTTTGTATATTATTATTAACATGCTCTGATGCTAAGGAGTTCTACTCCCCCTCCCCACCTGGAAAGAAATCTGTTCCAAATGCAAAACACAAGGAGAGGAGAGGAGTTTCAGTTTCAGTTTTAGTTTCATAGCAGCAACCAGCTTTAATACAGAATAATTGTGATATGCCACACCCAGGCTCCTTGCTGTCTCCTTGCTCACACAACAAATAGTTTCAGTTTCCAAACAGCCCTCAACTATCACACACTGATAGTTGGAGGGCTGTTTGGACGCTAGGATGAATAGGACGCTAGCCAGATGAATACAGATGGATGCTGGTAGGCAGAGGCAGATTTTTTCCCTCTTATTTTTCTCCCCCAAAACTAAGCCCAACCACATAGTTTCGTAGTGAAGCATGGGTATCAAGCTTGTTCTTTCATAATGTTTAAATCACTCATTTTCTTGGGAATTAGGTAGTCTATAAATATACTGTATGTAACTAACAAGCAAACAAATCAATAATTTCTTTGAAGAGTGGGTCATATTGCATTAGCAGCTAACGCAGACAGCTTAAAAACTTCTGGCTATTACTAATGCATTCAATATAGTGTAGGTCTCAGTAGTACTGATAGATAAGGATATTAGGGCTGCACATGATTCTAAAATGCTTCGGAAGTGTTTTGCACCTCCTTCAAGGGATTCATTAAAATTAGGGTTACTTTTAATCAAGCAGAGTATCTTTCAGGGCTTGCAAAGAAGGAAAAAAAGGACTTGCTTTAATTAATAGCAGAACTGTTTGTTAGAGATCTGAAATGTCTCTTCCAAAGTATCATAAAATAAAAATTGTAATTTTTAAACATTTTCTTACAGAGTGGATCATACGGCAGCAACAGCCAGTATGGACAGGTAAAACTATCGTTTAAATACAGTAGATATCTAATAATGGCAATATGTGACAATAGCCAGAGATGAGCAAAGAAATCCTATACGTAGATCAAGTCAAAGGAAGGAGGTTATGTAACTGCTGTGGATGGAGGCCAGATATTGAATCCAATGCCTAAAAACAGTCCAGGAGGGGAGGGAAGAAAAGCCTTAGGTAGAAAATGCAAATGTGGTTTGGAAAACTTAGTTCCGGTCACAGACTTCCTGAAAGCAACCAAGGCCAAGTAATAAGGGGCAGGAGTTTCCACTAGAGCTATGAAAAAGAATCAAGACGAGAGTTTGAAGCCCAACTCCTTTTTCTAATCAAAGGTGGAAAGACTTCAACTGCACAGTGATGACCACCACTCGACAGTTTGGATATGCCCTCCCCTGGGCATCACAGATTCTAGGTCTTTGTACTACACTTACATGAGACAGTCAATACATTCCCACAGACAAATGAGGACGTGCTGAAGCCCACATTTCTGTACTGCTGCAGAAGACAACGCCATAAGTACCAGCCCCACAGATTCAATAGATCATAATCTTGTCACTGCCAATCCTCACATAACTGTCCTAGGAGGGGTCTTGATTACTATGACCGTCCTCTCAAAACTTGTTTCAGGAATACCATCAACACAAGATGCAGCCCTAACATTCTTGCCTGGGCAGAAATGCCAGCAATCCAGACTAGAGGGGGGAAGATTATTTGCCAGTATTCCAAAGTGAGGGACCAGATCCTTCCAGAAGGAAAGCCAAAGGCATACATATGGGCAGAGGCTACCTTCACAAGTTGCCTCCCTGGGAAACAGAAGACACTTCCTAGCAGGAAGAAGGGGGGTTATTTAAAATTTATTTGTGTGTGTGTGTGTATATGTTTGTCCATTTTTAAATGCTTTGTTTGTCATAACATATAGAAAGTTGCAGGCCTAGCATTTTGAAGTAATGTATATTAATGTTAAATCTTAATTTATATTTCTGCACAGAGTGGATCCTATGGGAGCAGCAGCCATTATGGACAGGTAAAACTATGCTACCATATAATGTCAGGCTCCAAAAAAAAAAAAAAAACAAAGAAAGATATGCAGAGAAACCTCTAAGCCGTTTCCTTTATTGTTCGTGATCTATGGACAGAATCTTGCCAGACTACTTGCATCATTAAAGATAGACACTGAGCACCTCTAGGGAGGAGCTCTCTTGACCTTTTTCCTCCTAACCAAACTACCTCAACTGTGCTCTCTCTTGCTCCCCTGGAATACCACCTGTCCCTTCTGTGAATCCGAACTAATTCTCACCATATAATGTGTGTAAAAAAAGGCCTATAATAAAAATAAAAATGAGCATTTTGCACCTTCTGAATGTAGGTAGCACTCTTCTGCAGTTATATGAATTGTTTTTATAATATATTTGCTATACAGACTGGACAAAGCGGATCCTATGGGAGCAGCAGCCAATATGGACAGGTAAAATTGTTTTGTTGTACGATATATGTAGAAAATGTGCTCTAGCAATAGATCAAAATGGGCATTTTGGTTTATTGCTGCTTCTAAAATACAGTATAATAACATGGGCATTTCTGTTTATTATAATTTCGGAATATAAAAGGCAGGTTTATGAAGTTATATTAATGGGGCCTTTTTTACACTGGAGATGGCTGGTAAAATAAGAGAGAAGATTCCACTTCTATACTGCAAATGTACTGGGTTCCTATCTTTATCTTGTTAATTTTAATGTTTTTATATTTGTGTGTTTATTATAAGCTGCCCAAAATCTCTCTAAAGAGTGAGATGGGAGTTGTATAAATTTAATAAACAAACAAACGAATAAATAAATGTGTTATAATGTATTTTCTGTACAGACTGGACAGAGCGGATCCTATGGGAGCAGCAGCCAATATGGACAGGTAAAATTGTGTTACCATATGATTTGTGTAGAAAATATGCTACAGTAATAAATAATCACAAAAAAGAAATGTGTATTTCTATGTATTTCAGCTTCTGAGCATAAAAAAGCAGCCTTGCTTAAATGTATTGTTTTATTATCCCCCCCATATTTTTTGACAGAGTGGATCCTATGGGAGCAGCAGCCAATATGGACAGGTAAAACTGTTTTATTGTATGACACATGTAGAAAATGTGCTATAGTAGTAGATCAAAATGATCGTTTTGGTTTATTGCTGCTTCTAAATATAACAACATGGGCATTTCTGTTTATTGTAATTTCGGAATATAAAAAGCAGCTTAGAGCAGTTATATTAATGGGGGGCATTTTACACTGGAGGTGGCTGGTAAAAGTAAGAGAGAAGATCCTATCTCTATATTGCAAGGGTTCCTCGCTTTATCTAAGTCTTATTAATTGTAATGTTTGTATATTTGTGTGTTTGTTGCATTGTAACAAACCCAAAGTGAGATGGGAGTCATATAAATTTAAGAAATAAATAAATGTTTTATAATGTATCTTTTGTTCAGGCTGGGCAGAGCGGATCCTATGGGAGCAGCAGCCAATATGGACAGGTAAAAAACTGTTGTTATTGTATGATGTATGTAAAAAAAATGTCCTCACAGCAATAGATAATACAAAGAAAGATGAGCATTTCCATTTACTTTCAGTTGCTTTGTGCAAATATATTATTTTTATATGCATTTTCTGTACTGAGTGCTGCAGCTCTCAATATGGAAAGGTAAATATTGAGCAATGTATAGATAATATATTTCATGGACAGATGTAAACTATTTCTTAAAACTTAACATTGATGTTTATTTCTGCTCTGAATGTAAAAAAGATCTGTCTGTCTATCTATCTATCTATCTATCTATCTATCTATCTATCTATCTATCT